CAGGAAGTGTGATTAGAGGTGTGCACCAACAGGCCCAACTCAGATGATCACTTAAAGGCCATTCTGTGAAAATGCAGGGATGAGTAAAAACCTCAGAATTGGGATGAGACAATCCATATTTATCTAGCCCATGCAAAGATATTTAAAAAGAAAGCCAAGCGTGGTGGCACACACCTGTAATCCCAGCACTCGGGAAGCTGAGGCAGGAGGATCGCTATGAGTTGGGAGACCAGCCCGGGCTACATAGTGAGTTCCAGGTCAGTCTCAAATTTATGGTGAGACCCTGGCTCAAAAAAACAAAACAAAACAAAACAAAAGATTTAAAGAGAGGAATGGTGACTACCGGTTAGGGAATTGATTTGGGACTTTACCATCGTGCCCTGGCAGAGTCCGATCCAGTACATCCTTAATGGAAGCCAGTGGGAGGTTGTTTATCTAGAATCTTTTGGGGTGATGAGGAGCAGGAAGCAAAGTTAAGCAGGAGCATCCTCTCCTCCAGAATGCTCTGAAGACATATACTTAACTGCTGGGTCCCACAGAGCACACACGTGTACAACCCCTCTGTCCTCACAGCCCCTGCCCTGTAATAACCCCTGACGCTTAGACCTAATACCCTGCTTTGCCTGATGGGAGCTGTAGAGCCCAGTTAGTTGTCCACACTCCGCCTACGCCCACCCTGCTTTCCTAGGAGCCAGCTTCGAGGCTCGGCACCGAAGACCTTTTTCCCTCCAGTCTACCTGGAAGGAGAATTTAGACTTCTGGTGTGACAGGTGGAGCTTCACTTGTTTGTCCTTGAGCGCTGTAGGAGTCAAGATTTGGACTTCTCACATTTTTCTTATTTCTCTGGCTTATCAGGGGAAAGGCCATGAATACTGCATTTGTTCTTTTCTTTTGCATTCTAGTTATTTCACTTTCTTATAGAATAGTTAGCCATTAAAGAAATGTATGTTTTCTTTGCATTTGGAAATGAATAAATTGATTTTGAGGACCATAACCCAATTCCTCCAACATTCCCCCCTGCCTTTTTTTTTGAGGCAGGGTCTCACTATGTAGTTGAGATTGACCTGGAACTCACTATGTAGCCCAGGGTGGTCTCGAACTCACAGTGATCCTCCTGCCTCAGCCTCCCGAGTGCTGGGATTGCAGGCGTGTGCCACCATGCTGGGCCCAACATTCCTTCTTCCCATGACTTGCTTCCGAGACAGGCGGTCCTTGGATATCCTGTGAGCCAGTAGAGAAGCCCAGCTCTAGCTCAGTGGTTTTGTTTGTTTGTTACAGTTTATTTGCATGGGAGAGGAACCTAGTATTCCTGCACCTCTTTCCTTCTTTTTTTTTTTT